TATATATATATAAACACATGGTTCTATACACATGAAAAGCATTTAACTACTCTATATTCTTAAGCATTATCAAAGACAATATATTGATCCCATCAGTAAAAATTTTAACAACCGTAAGTTGACCAAACCATTTATTATCATATGCTTTAATCATTACTATTTTTATTCACTACTAAATCAAAGGCTTAACTTTTTTCTGGGTTACACATACCCTCATAATATTTAAGTATTTTATATGTCTCTCTTAAAATTTATTTTGTATTCTTTTGGGGGAGGTTAGATTTTTGTCTTTTTTAAAAGTATTTAGTACTACACAGTCTACAGGGTTTCACTACACAGGTTGGATTACAGGCATACACCACCATGCCCAGTCTCAATCACCTTCCCAGCGTGCCCCGGGGGTGGGGCCAGCACAGCAGGCCAGGATAGAATCCCAGGCCCCTGCATCTGCCTAAACAAGTACTTTAATCTGCTGAGCTTCTGGCCGACCCAAGGTTTGGATTTTTGAGGCAAGGGTCTTTCTGTGTTGTTCAGGCTGCCCTTTAACTGACTACATAGCTCACAATTTGAGACCCAGCCTGGCCTCAAAGTCATAGCAATCATTCTGCCTCAGCCAGCTAAATGCTAGGATTACAGGCATGTGCTAACATGGCCAACTGTATTCTCATTATGTAATCATTTTTCGTTTATCAAAGAAAGAGCTAATGAAACAATTTCAGATGATCTGTTAAGAGTAACAAACATAGCCACACATAGTGATGCAAGCCAGTGATCCCAGTACAACGGAGGATCACTGTGAGTTCAAGGAACAGTGTGCAACACATAGCCAGCCAGCCTAAACTGCATAGTGAGACCCTGTTCCAAAATTAAAAAAGCAAAAACAATAAAACAATTGTGTCCATGAAAAGATTTCTTTTTTTCATGAAAAGATTTCTTGATTTTTTTACTTCTCTAAGTTATCTGAATAGAGTTATTTCAAGAAAAAACTTTTTGGGCTGGGGATATAGCTCAGAGGCCTAAGTGCCTGCCTGGCAAGTGCAAGGTCCTGAGTTTGATTCCTGGTACCAAATTGAAATAGAAGGGAGCAGAAACATTTTTATCATAAAACTTAATGAAACCAATAAAAATGTTTAAGAACTAGAATGGATGTCTCTTGGTCTTAAAATCTATTAGCGATGATACAGCCTTTCTATAACCTAAGAAGATAGCTAGGCAAGTGACACTGCAGAAAAGCAGCATATTTGATATGTAGTCTCTAGAATAGCATTATTTTCAAGATGCCACTAAAATAATTACATATATATTTGATGATAGTTTCTTCCATTTTCTATCTCAACTTTTTGATGTGATAATTTCAAAAGAGATTTCTATGATGATATCAAAAGATGGGTTCTCCTTCCCACTAACTCACCTGACCTCAGACTTTCTGGGCAACGTGAGCGACGTGTGAGAATGGAGGATGTAACTACTAGTGCTGTCTGCCAGAGCATCCACTCTTAGTGTTGGTATACTCCTGTCACTGGATTTCTCTTCAGAGATATCTTAACATAAGATTAAGAACAAAATAACATCAGTATTTATTATGAAAATATATCTAACTAGACCTTCATATTTGTAATAAAAAAGACAATTGTTCTGAAGCCAAAGAAAACAAAATTTAAAATGCTTTATTGAAAATGTCTCCAATAAATTTAATTACTTTTAATTAATTAATTCATTTATTTATTTTGGTGGAACCAGGGATTGAACTGAGGCCCTTGCACTTGCCAAGGAAGTGCTTATTCCACTGAGCCATCTCCCTGGCCCCTGTTTACTTTTAAATTATAATACCTACCACTAATATCTTGTAGTTAAGTTTTTAGAACTTATACTAAAAGTCTAGTATTTAAATATGGTAGAAATAATCATTATACTATTTGTTACAGGAAAATGTAGAATTTTTAAATTTATATACTGTATTTAGACCTTCTGGAAACTTTTTTTCTTTTCAGTGACTGCTAAGAAAGAACAAATGATCATATAAATATCTACCATAAGCCATCTCCTATGAAAGAGCAACAAAATACTGTAGGTATAAAGTTAGAAAATGGATCCAAATAGATGGGAAAGGGATGGAAGCCAAATAAGACAATAAGGATGTTACCAAATAGGTCAAGAAAGAATAACTAAAAAGAAATGAGGAAATTATTGTTCTTTTTGAATCAGAAGAAATACAGAAAAGAGATAAAGGGCAACAGGATAAAAATGATAGTTTAAAAAGGTAATGAGCCACAGGACTAACAAAAAATATTAATAAAAATACAAATGTAAAAAACTCCTAAAGCTAAGCACTCTATTCTTGTTATTGTTTCTATTATTATTTCTGTTATTATAATTAAGAAGAATTTATTTTATGCTCACTGGTCATTTGAGAGTAAGCAGGAGTCAACCAGCTTCATAGAATTCCAGAATGAAATAGACAGCTAACCTAGATAGGGTTGAAAAATGAACTTGAAATTTATTTGGGCTGAGATTTTTTCCTAATTATTCAGCTTACAATCTCACCTAAAGAAATAAATGTGATTTTCATAAGGTGATTTTCCAGAATATGTATTCCTTTCCAAACATTCTCAAATCCCCAGAATCTCATTATTACTCACCTTGAGGACTACTTGTATCCACAAGCTGCCCCTGAGGTACAATCACTTGTCCCATTCCTGTCTGGGTAGATGGAATTACATGAAGCACCTGTCCATTTTCTGATGGGCTAGCAACGATCATCTTGGAAGCATTAAAAAACAATTAAACGCATATGCCTACAATGATTTAACAGAATATACTGAGCCAAAACAAAAACACATACGTATCTCTACAAAGGATATTATTTTCCCCATTTTATAGATGAAAAGATTGAGACACACAAAAATATTTTCTAAGGTCTTGCAATGGACAAGTGGCAAAGCCAAGGTTCAAAATAGTCATTTTGACCCTACAGGCCATGGTCTTAATTATTTATGGTCTTTTTTTTGTGGAACTGGGGAATGAACTCAGGCCCTTGCACTTGCCAGGCAAGCGCTTATTCTAATAAGCCATCTCCCTGGCCCTTTTGTTGTTTTTTTGAGACAGTGTTTCACCATGTGCCCAGGGTAGCCTCAACTCACAGGGAACTTCCTCCCTCAAACTCCCAAGCATTAGGATTACAGGTGTGTGCCACCATGCCTGGCTATTACTCATGGTCTTAATCATTATAATACATATATGAAGTCTAATTACTTAGTAATCTGAACATAGTTGTAACTGAACTTAATAAATTTATGCTCTTCTACTTGTATTATCCATATATGTTTGACTTTTGTGTAGAAATCATTTGTCCTGTATTTTATGTCACTGGCATGAATTAAAAATGGTAACTTGTTAGCTATCTAATTAAACAGGATTTTTTTTTTTTACTTTTTAAAAAATTATTTATTTGGTACAGGGTCTCACTATGCAGCTCAGACTCATAGTGATCCTCCTGTTTCAGCCTCCCCAGCACTGGGATTCTAGGCATGCACCACCATGCCTGGTTTCAGTGGTCGGCATGGCACACCCGGGGCTCTGGGGCCAGCACAGCATGCAGTACTGGGGATCGAACCTGGGTCCTTGCACCTGCTAGGCAGGTCCTTGAGGAACAGGAGTTTTACATTTCTGCATTTATGCATCCATGTTGTTCCACAAAGATGACAATGGGAGTGTCCAAATAGCCTCAACCCACAAGGAATTACTGTACTATTTTTCAATTCAACAAATACACCCAAGTTGAGAGGAATGGCAACTAAAAAGGCATCTAAATTTGGAGAAAATATTTTGAACTTCTTTGAAAACATAAGTAACAAATGACTTGAAAGTAAGTTTTTAGGGATCAGGAATTTGGCTCAACAGCACAGCACCTACCTAGCAAGTTAAGGTCCTGAATTCAATTCCAGCTACCCCCTCTCCTGCCAAAACTAAAGTAAATTTTTAGGCTTCTTACATACTTTATCTGTTTTACTGGTCTCCTATTGACACAGTTTTACTATTCCACTCAGAATGTGCTATCTATTCTACTACAGCTACTTCATTTCATTTTGAATAAAAAGTTTAATTACAAGAATGGTAACTTTGGGGCTGGTGAGATGGCTCAGTGGTCTAAAGCACCTACTTAGAACAAGCTTAGCAAAAAAGCACAGGGACCACGGTTCAATCCCCCAGCACCACATGCCAGCCAGCCCCGCCCCCCTGGTGGGCTGAGCTGGCCACACACACACACAAATAAATAAAATAAATAAATTAATTTTTTTAAAAAATGGTAACTTTTCCAGAATCAAATAATCTTGTTTTTAAGGCACAGTAGCATGTATAAAATGACAGCCTTTCGTACATTTGGACTTCTAGATTCTTCTGTTGGATGAATAGTAAATAAAAGGGGAAAGTACCAAAGTATTTAATTCTGGATGTAAAAAATTAATATGTAGCTGTTCCACTCTAAATTATTTTTTGCATATGAACCTTTGCTGGTTAATATGGTTATAGAAGCTTACCCTTTCCTCGCATTTCAGTCCTGGGATAGGCTCAGAAATATATCTAGCCTAAGCCAAAACCAAGATTTCCTGGATTAGGAGTGTATTTGGTAGTACACTACCACTCTGATCAACTTCTAGCAATGAAGGAAAAAAAAAAAAACCACACATACAATTTATGTATTACATAATGTTTAAAAATTTTATTACATAAAATTATATTAAAAAACCTTCCCTACACACTTCTCTTAGGCACATCACCAATATTCTTTAAGAATCTAAAGAAAATAGAGCACAGATTTAACTCTAGAATGCTCTAGACCCTAGGCAAAATGGTTGTTTATCTGTGTTGTAATTTATAATTGAAATTACTGTGCTTTTTAAAAAGAATTTTTAGGGCCAGGGAGATAGCTCAGTAGAATGAATGTTTGCCTAGCAAGCACAAGTCCTGAGTTCAATCCCTGGTACTGAAAAAAAAAAAAAAAAAAAAAAAAAAGAATTTTTACTGTGAAATAATACTGTAAATATACACATAGAAAAGCTGGGAAAATCAGAAAAACAAAAAGAGGATCATTATCTTTTATAGTATTATTTATATACATGTACTCTTTATTAACTAGAGAATACCTTAGAAGTTTTTCTCAATAATTATTTCTATTTCAATTAGGATCATTTTTCTTTCTTTTCTTTAAGGAGGAGAAATTTATTTGGGCTCACAGTGTTCAGTCTGTGGTGAGCAGCTGGCTTCCAAACTTAAAGAAGCCGGCAGAGGGGCATGACAACCAGACCAGACAGTGAGATTGGAATAAGGAGGTGGAGACCACCATCAGCCTTCCCCACAACGGCCCAGGGGCCCCCTCCCACCAGCTCCACCCCATAGGACCACATTCCTCTGGCCAGCGCCAGGAGTCCCCTGAGAGCAAGCCTAGGACTATCTCGATGTAGTCATCTTCCACACACAAAAAGTTTTGTGGGTCCTTTGGGATCTAGTCCGTGACATTAGCTGTGAATTCTTTCATTGTCGCTGTGGAATAGCTGAGTACATGAGAACTTGCCTTGTTGTATTTATCTATTGAAACCCTTATGTGTCCTCTCATAATTGTCAGTTTGAGGCTTTTCTGAGCTGTGTCGCTCCGCGGTAGTTTATGGTTGGACACATCTATACCGATCCCTCTCGTAGGCCTGCGTGTAGCCCTAGGGACCTACCTAATTCTAGAAAATATTTTCAAAATGCATGGAAAAGTACTCTTAGCCATGTGTGTGTGTTTTTTTTTGTTTTTTGTTTTTTTTTTTAAGAAAAATAGACATGACATTAAAAGCAGAGAACAACTGAGATTCAAAATTTCATTAGACGCCACATTTTGGTGAGTTGATGGTCCAAACACGCGCAGCTTTAACAAGTTAAAAAAATAACAAAAACAGCTGCTCTCTGTTCTTTTTATTGCTTATTTCACTGTAAAGCCCAGGTCCTCCGAAACTGGGGCAGTGAGGCTTTCTATATTATTTTTAAAACAAATTAAGATCATTCTTCATCTCCTTTATTCAAAATATGACACTTTGTAAAAACACTTGAACCAACAGTTTGAATCTGCACTCTCACTGTTCTCACCTGTGCATACTATTATTCACAAAATACATACTATCTACCTACAAAGATTAGAAGGATGAACCTATGGACTCTTCATTTGTACTGCTTTCTGTTTTTTAAACCATTTTTTATTTGTACAAGTTTGTAATATATAATAATTACATTTATTATGGGGAATTAGTATGTGAACACAACACATCTTAATTCTCTTGTGTCCCCTATTTCTTCTACTCCCATCCCTCCCTGTTCCTTCCATCTCTTAATGTCCTTTTCCCACTGCAAAAGCTCTGTTTCTACTTTTTTCTTTTAATTTTTTTTTAAATCCGTTTTCCCTCCATCTCTTTTTCTCCTTTCCTTTTGAAAAAGATCTCCCTACTTCCTATTATCTATCTTTGTTATCTGTATTTCCTTGGACAGAGGACTTCTGTTTAGAATATATAAAGAACTCAAAATAATTACTCTCCCCAAATAAAAAAGCCAATAAAAATATTGGAATTTTTTTTTTTTTTTTTCTCCAGAACTGGGGATTGAACTCAGGCCCTTGTACTTGCCAGGCAAGTGCTTATTCTACTGAGCTATCTCCCGGGCCCAAAAAAATGGGAAATTTTCTGAAATAAATAGACACACATCTCTGAAGAAAGCCATTAGAAATTGCATTCTTTTTAAGAGAGGTTGCTGGCCTGTCATATGCAAGTCACTAGTTCAGTCTATTGCACATACTGAGAAACACATAAATTATATGTAAATTTTAGCACATTATGTTATGGTTCCAATTCATCTTAAAAGACTAGTGTACCAGATAGAAGTGGCTTAGTAAAAATAGTTTAAAGTGCTACTTACAGGCCTGAAAAGAGCCTTTAAAATCCTTACATAAAACTGAAAGTCATGAACACAGAATTTTCAACACAAGATAAATCAATAGTACCAAGAAATTAAGGTCATCTAGTAAGACTACCTATTGCCAAATAGCATAAACTGGTTATTTATAAAATATACTCACCATTTGTGAATCTCCCAGAGACTGAAGTTCATATTGAACAGGATGCCCATTTTGGTCCACTAGATGGAACTGCTCTGCAGAAAGAGTTGGGGTCTCAGTTAGGGGTCCTGGGATATCCTGTGGTGTGAGTGTATCATTTGCTTCAGCAGTAGTGACAGACAAAACTGTCGGAGAATCATTTTGTCCAAAGGAAGGATCCCTGGTGTCCATACAAGCTAGATGCTTTTGTAAAACAAAACAAAACAAAACACACACACAAAAATCCTACTTAGGTCTTTGCAAAATATGTTGTCACTATTTTTTTAAAAAGAAAACATTATATACGATAAATACATATACACACGAAGAAAGGAAGGGGATTAAGAAATAAAAAGAACAGGGGGAAAGAGAAGTGAATTAAAATGTGTTATGTACAAGTATTAACTTCCCATAAGGAAAGCAATCATTATGTATTGCATGTGTGTACTAATAAACTAAAAGAAAATGCAAAGTTTATCTAAAAAACAGAACATACATAATAAAAATGGTAAGACATTTTTTAAAAGCTAGTTTATTTTACTTTGATAAAAATGTAAATTTAAGGCCAGTGAGATAGCTCAGCGGTCTGTCTGTTTGGCAAGAGCAGGGACCTGGGTTCCATCCCTGGCACCAAATGCCTTGCTAGCCCCGCCCCCAGGTATGCTGAGCCACCCCTCCCCTGACCTCCCAGACTGCACTGGTGGCAGACACCTATAATTCCAGTGCTGAGGAGGCTAAAACAGGATCATTGAGTCTGAGCTGCATAGTGAGACCGTATACCAAACATATTTTTTAAAAAAGAATGTCAATTTATAGGATAGAAAATATTTCTTTAGTGAACCTACTGCTTTTTATTTTCTAGTATCCAAATGTTATAAAAATAATTAGGCCATGGGAATGTACTCTGAAGTGATGAAATACAATTCAATATACATTTTTGTACATAATTTTTGTATATAACTTTTAATGAATGTCTTACTTTCCATAAAGTTCTGTATTATGAAATAAAACATAATAGACTATATAAGCAATTTAGTAGTAAAATCTTAAATCATTAAATATAGTAAGTATTCCTTAGACATAAAAAGTCATCTAACAAATAGCACGCTGTTTTCCCAAGAAGAAAAAGAAGTTTTCAGTTGAGTCTCTACCTCAAATTCCTGCACATCTGTTCGGGATGTTTCATCATCATTACAGCTGGCTTCTAATGAATCGTTAGACTCTTCCATTCTGGTGTTGAACTCAATTCCATTTTCTCCTATTATTTAATAGCTGCAAGAGTTCAAATGTCTGAAAAACTAAAGCATTTTACATATTCATGACGTTTTACCTTAAATCTCGTATGTCCTTTACTAAGGAACTTTTTTTTTTTTTTTTAAATATATTCAGTACAGGGTCCACAGGGTCTCACTACACAGATTGGACTCTCAATGATCCTTCCTGTTTTTCAGCCTCACAAGAGCTGGGATTACAGGCGTGTGCCACCACATCTAGTCTCATTTACTGTCAGTGAGCCCCAGGGCAGGGCTGGCACGCTACTGTGGAACTTTATAAAATTTAGATAAGACCATTTGCAAGATAAGAATATATTCAAGGGAAAGCACAGATGATTATGTAGTTTTCTCATACAACCTTTAATTACATTCTTACACTAGATGATTAAACTTGTTTTTGTATGACAGGAAATGGTATATCTTTATAAATAACTCAAAATTACTCATTTCACAATGATTTAATCCAAATAAAGGCTTTTAATTTTATGAGCTGGGTGTGTCCTACTGTAACAATATACAGTTTAAGCAAAGAGGTGCCAAGGCAGATGTGAATTATATACACAACAATCTCCTCTTTATCTGTAAGGGATATACTGCAAATACTCTAATGGATGCTTGTAAACTCTAAGGACTGTACTAATCCCTATATCACTATGGGTTTTGGTTTTGTCTATACATACACATCTATGATAAAGTTTAATTTACATACTGTTATAACCTGTGCAATTGATTCCAATTTTGTAACTCTGTATGCTTCCACTGAAACTTTATTAACTGTTATAACCTGACATAGGCACCACCATCTTGTTCTGTATGCGCCATTCTAAATGCTGTAACTTTCCACTGTGCCCCTGTTCTCTACTTGAGAACCTGCAGTTGGGCCTTTCTCACGCTGTCCTTTGTGTACACCTGAATCTAGTTCCAGCCCAATGCCCTGTTCTTGCCCTCGTTCCCAGTTACAAACTGTACCCACCACTGTACCTGTTATTGTTCATTAGAAACAGGTAATTTTTTAACTGTAGCCCCTAGATGAACCCTTGACGTCAGCTTTTGTGGTTTATTGGCTTAAATACCCACTCCCCTCATGCTCCCAGCGTGCACCTCAGCATCTTGTGGGGGTGTCTGCCGCTGGGTACCAGCTAAAATAAAGTGCTTCTTTTCTTTTCGAGCCTGCCTCATTTTTGAGTTACAACATTTGGGGGTTCGGCTGGGATCCCACGGGAATCTCCCGTTTTTAAGAACATCTTGTAGTAACATCTTTTCAAGCCTGTCTCATTTTTTAGTTACAACACATACTAGTAAAAGAACAATTATTATTAATAAACTAGAACACATACAAAAAAACTAGAACACTTACAATAATATCCTGTAATAAGTTATTTAAAACTTAGGCATTATTTTGTTTATTTATTTATTTTTGAGGAACCAGGGATTAAACTCAGGTCTTTGCGCTTGCCAGGCAAGCGCTTATTCTACTGAGCCATCTCCCCAGTCCTGGCATTGTTTATTTCTGAAAATTTCCATTATCTGGGTAATATTTTCAGGCAACTGTTGATTACAAGTAACTAAAACCATAGAAACAAAAACTACAGATGAGGGAGAACTTCTGAAAACAACTTTTTGTTTCTTGCAGGTACTTTTGATGTTTTGAGACAGAGTCTTGCTTATATAGTCCAGGCTGGCCTCAAATTCACAGTGATCCTCCTGCCTCAGACTCCCAAATGCTGGGATTACAGGAGTGTATAACCCTGCCTAGTTGCACACAATTCTTGCCATTAATATTTAACCATACCATTTGAAATTAGCTTGACAGGCTTGGAAAATGAAAAGTATTTAATGACAAAAATACAAGTCACTTAGACCAACTACACTGGTTTGGTTCTCAATAGGGACAATTTTACAAGGCAATAAAATCAGTCTGCTTTTAATATTACAGCTACAAAGTACCTTCACATCGCCTTACCTTTCAGATTTAAATTAATAACTGTATTCTGATCTAATTTATTACAAAAACTCCTAAAATACGACGTAGCCTATAGTTATCTCTTGGGCTACAGAACAGCAATTTTATACCTTTCTGTTGTTTTGAATTTTGCACGCTATATCACCTACAAATAAAATTTCTTTGAAGCAGTTTTAAAAATTCAAAAAGTTGAAAATGGCAAAGTAGAGACTGAGAACAAAATATAGCCTCTCCAAGGAACTGGAATGGAGATACCTGGAAAACAACAACTGGGTGAAGGGTGGGGGGAAATTGCAAATCAGGAGGGAGCAGACAGGAAACCTGGAAACTGCAGAGCAGCTGGAGAAACAGAGCACAGCAAAGAAAAGCCAAGGAAGCCTTTTGGAAAGGGGCCCTAGGCCATCTCCACTGACACAAGGTAAGCCTGAAGAGAATAGTGCTAGGGACAAAAAAAGAGACTGAGCTGGCAGTGCTAGCCCCAAGAGAAGCCCATAGTTACAGTGAACTGCAAAAAGCAGCATTGGGCTTTTACCTGGAAAGTGACTCCTGCATGGCAGGCTAGAGTTCGAGAACAAATCCAGTGTAGTGCCTGCAATATTTAAGAGGATTTAATCAAAAGCCACTTTGGCAAGAGGTTAACTGCTCAAGATGGAGCTGCACAATGACTAAATCTCAGGATTTCTGGTGTCACTCAGTGACTGGGTAGCTGACGGGCATAAGAGACAGTAACAGAGAGGGTGTAGAGTAGACAGAGAAGTTTAAATTCAGGCTAGGAAAGACTTAGAGGAGTTCTACTCTCTGAGGTGAGAAGCCAGGGAGCTGGGGAGATGCTCAGTAGAATAAGAGCTTGCCTGGTGAGAAGCCAGGCTGTTCCTGTGAGGCTTTTGGAGGAGGGTAAGCCTGAAAGTGCTGGAAATAAATCCAGTGACAACTAGAGCCCTCACCCCGTCCCTACATCCAGCACAAAGCTCAGTGATCTGTTTGCTTTCCCCATCTGCCAGCATGATCAGAGATCTGCCTTAGCTTGTGCAATTGCTACTATCTGGGGTGTATGCACAAAGGATCATCCGGAGTAGGGAAAGCCCCTTATAAACCTACAGGCCATGGAGCTAGGCAAAGAAAGCAATGACTTGGCGTACGTACATAAAGTGACAGTAGCCACAGAGTAGAAACCACTGAATGACTGTGCCAAGCAATATCTCATGGTGTTTCCTTTATATGAGAGACACAAAGTATAAAGAGCCAAATAAAAGCTAGATAATAGGAAACAGGGAGACCTTTAGTGAACTGGAAAGGATCTCAGATATGGGTGGGGTGGAGGAGAGGGAAAGGGGATTTAAGAAGAATTAAGATGCATTATGTACATGAACCAACTTACCATTTTAAATTACATTTTGTAAACATGTACTAATAAAAATTTTTTTAAAAGACACTTCCACTCATGGTAATATGGGAGACTAGACATTGTAAAGATTCTTTTGCTATGAAGTTGGTCTAAAATAAAATATTTTACTATAAATATAAAGCTGGTCTAAAAATATTTTGCTATAAAGTTGGTGTAAAATAAAATATTTTGCCTGATGTGATGGCACATTCTTCTAAGCCCAGCTCACAGTACCTGATGCAGCACTTGGGAGAATCACATTTGAGTTCAAGGCCAAACTGGACTACAAAGTGAGTTCAAGGCCTGCCTAAACTAAAGAGCAAGACCATATCTCAAAAACAGTAAGTAAATAAATAAATAAAATAGTTTGTGGTGGGACCTGTCATTAGAAATTACAAAAATCAAAATATTTTCATGTATTCCCCCAAAAGACAATAAAAAACTGTGAACATTGACAAGAGTAAAATACATAGGAATGGATCTAATAAAAAAAAGGAAAATATTTTTATACAAAGTACAAAAAGCTTTTCAGAAGATCTAAATACTTGAAAAGGTATACAGTGTTCACACATTAGAAAGTAGTACTATTATGCTGGCAATAATACACAAAGCAATCTATATTCAATGCAATCATTATTATAATATCATACTCTTCTAAGAAGTAATGGAAAAGCTAATCCTAAAATTTATACAGAACTTCAAGGGCCCCTGAATAACCAAAATGTTTCTGAAAAAGAATGAAGTTGGAAGTCTCACATTTCAGATTTTAAAAATTGTAATAAAGCTATAGTAATTAAGAGTATAGGACTGGTGATATAGCTTACCAGCAGTGTTTGCCTTAGCATAAGCAAAGTCCTGGATTTCATCACAAGCACTGCCAAGAAAAAAAAAAAAAAAAAATGACAATGACACAAGGATACACATACAGAACAATGGAAATAAAGTGAAAAAATAAATGCATCTACCTATTGTTAAGTTATACTTAACATAGTACCAAAAGCATTTGCTAGAAAAAAAAAAAAAAAAAAAAACATGGGAAAACTGAAGAGCCACATGAAAAGGAATAGTGGGCAAAAAAATTTAAAATGTATTAAATATTTAAATATAAGCCCTGGATTTGGGGATATAGCTCAGTGGCATAAAAACCTGCCTGGCAAGCGCAGGTCCCAGGTTAAATCCCCGGTACTGGGGGGAAATAAAAGATACAAATGTAAGCATTAAAACTGTACAACTTTTAAAATAACACATACACACACACACACACACACACACATACACACACACACAGAGTTGAATCCTTGTGATCTTGGATTTGGTAATGGTTTCTTAGATGCATCACATAAAGGATCACAAAAATAAATAAAAATTAGATGTCTATAGAACACCATGATCAAGAATGTGAAAAAAAATTTTGCTGGCTATACCTCACACAGAGGACTAATAACTAGAATAAATAAAAAACTAAAGGGTCAGAAGATAGCTCAGTGGCTTAAATGCCTCCTTGGCAAGCACAAGGTCCTGAGTCAGATCCCTGGTACCAAAAAGAAATGAAGAAGAGGAAGAGGAAGAGGAAGAGGAAGAGGAAGAGGAAGAAGAAGAAGAAGAGAGGGAGGAGGAAGAGGAGGAGGAGGAGAAGGAGGAGGAGGAGGAGGAAGAGGAAGAACTAAAAAAACCAAGACTTCCCAAAATGAAAGCCAACGAAAAATCCATCAATGAAATAAACAGATACTTCTCAGAAGAAGTACAAATGGCCAGTAAATACGAAAAACATTCAACAGCTATGGCCATTAAAGAAATGCAAATTGAAATAAGTTAAAACTGAGGTACAGGATCTCAGGATAAGTCCTGAGGGGATTTCACTGACCTTATCAGACCCAAAAGCTGTAACTCTTGTTGAATAGGTCTTGCTTTATCTTGGTCTTAACCATCCAGCAGAAAAGTATAAAAATGAAGTATAAGAAGTAAAGCCATGCTGTTATGTTGAGCTGTAGGGGACTCAGGCCAACAATTTCTGACACTGCCAGTGAAGCAGAAGACCCAATACTATTATGGACTACTAGACTCTTTTAGAATATTTTGCTGAGTTAACACACCTATAATATTCAAATAATGGAACTAAACAAGAAAAGGGGATACAGATGAATGTCCATTTTGTATCTGTGTATTCAGAATGGTTAGGATAGATATATAGTTACATTCTCTTAATGAATAGAGGGATTTGTTCTAATAGTGTTTGTAAATAGGATATCATGTCTGCATCTTGTACAGCAATTAACCACTAGGAAGAATGTATGCAATGTGTTAATTATTGAAACTGTCCTACCAATTTGGTTTGAAACTGTCTCATTGCTATTTGTTTCTCAAAAAAATTATGGGAAAAAATTAAAAAATAAATAAGTAATAATAACAATATAGAAATAAGTGTCTAACCAAGTTTATAACAGCACAATTCATAATAGCCAAATTATGGGAGCAGCCTTTATGTCCATGAATAGATGGACATACAAAGCAAGTGTACTGTTTACACACAACAGATTACTCTGCTAATAAAGGATAGATATGAGTCACTTGCAGGAAAATAGATATAGCCTGCAGACCATAATGTGAAGTGAACTAATACATACAAGAAAGTAATGGTTTCTTACAAATACTTTAGAGAACAAAATAGAAAATAATAGGAAACAGGGAGATAGATCTTTTGCAAATGGGAAGTGGACCAAGAAATAGAGGTAGGGGAGCTGGAGAGAAAGGAAAGTAAAAAGAATTAAGATGTGTTATGAACAGTTCTCCATGATAAGTGTGACTGCTACATTCTGCCGGTATGTACTAATAAAAATTAAAAACTAAGATAAATGAAATTTGGAAGTTAAAAGCAACTTAATTAAAATATTTAAATTGACTAAATGCAGAGACAAAGCAAACTGGGGAATTCCAAGGGTTCAAGGGAAGGAAATGGGATAACTACCTAACGGGTATAAGATTTTATTTGGGGTTATGAAAATGTTCTGAAACAATAGGATGAACTCATTTAAGCATAGTTATAGTTGTATAAATTTCACTTATTCTTTAAAAAGTGGGTTTAGTATATAGCTTAATGATAAAGTACATGTCTACCATGCACAAGGGACTGGGATTAATTGCAAGCACCACAAAATAAAACAAAAAAAGTAAAATAATACCAAAAAGTATGGGGATATGTACATACACACATATTATATATTATACATTACATGTGTAATACTAAAAATATTTATTTATATATCAGTGTGTGTAAGTATGCATGGTAATCAGGAAAATGTGAACGTGGACTAGATATTTGATAAAAATGTCTTAAGGAATTTCAACTGTGTTTTTAGGTAATATGAATGATGTGATGTTACTATTTATGGATAAAGTTGTACCATGTAAGTCAAGCTTGGTGGCACACACCTGTAATTCAAGCATACACTGCAACTGAATCTGAGACCAGACAGGGCTACATAGTCAGTTCAAGGCCTGTTTGAACTATATAGTGAGAACGTGCCTCAAATAAAACAGAACAACAACAACAAAAAATGTACTATGGTATGACATCCAGAGTTTGTTTTTAAAATATCAAAATCAGAAAACAGGATACAACTAGATGGAGATCTAAATAACATAAGACTAGCCACATAGTGATACTTGTTCAAGCTCATAAATGGTTTTAATAGCAAACATTGGCTTTAATATTCTACTTCTGTATATATTCATAATTTTCTTCTAAAAACTTTTTAAGAACGGATAGAAATTAGTGTAAAAATCAATTACACTATCACATATCACAGTGCAAGACTTCACTATATATACCTCCAATAGGCAAACCGATAAGAAACCATAAAAATACAGAAGAAACTTGATTAGACATTTAAAATGCAACTCCGGGGGCAAGGGATATAACTCAGTGACATAAGCACCTGCCTGGCAAGGGCAAGGTCCCAAATTCAATCTCAGCACCACACAAAAAAAAAGAAAGAAAAGCTATTCACCTTTCCTAAGAGAATCTATGTTTGTCTCAAATACATCAGGATCTGAATCATGATGAAAATACCATGTATCAAAACTTCAGGGATACAGTGAAAATAGCATTTAAAAGGAAACTCTCATATTAGAAAAAAGATAAAAATTTCAGTTGTACAAAAGGAATAGGTTTGACAGCTCTGTGTATGTCACAGTAACTATAGTTAATAATAACATATTCTGTATTTAAAAATTGCTGAATGGTATTAAGTGTCATTACCACAAAAAAAGATCTTAACTTTGGGCTGCAGGTATGGTGCACAGGTACAGGATTTGAGTAGCCTATGCAAGGCCTTGAGTTTAATGCCCAATATTGTGTGAGCACCTGCAAATGTGTGTGCACACGTGCGTGTGTGCATGTACACACACACACACACACAAAATGCGTGTTAATTAGCTTAAAAGAACCATTCTACAATGCATGCACATGTCAAAATACATTGTCTACCATAAATAAGCATGTTTTTAAATTAAAAAATAAAATAATTTTCATGTCATGCTTCTATGAAGGAAAAAGAAAACAATGAGCTAAGTAATCAAAAATGTAGGAAAATAGTAAATGCAAAAACAACAACAAAAAAAAGTAATACTGGAGTGTCATCCAATGAAATACACCAAAAGGTGCAGCAGAAAAACCAGTAATTCTACAAATTGATTTTTTTTTTCTTTACAAGTTGATTCTTTATAGAGAAAAAGATTTGAGGAAAGAAAAAAAAAAAACACACACAAAACATTAGGAATAAAAAGAAGACTACAGGGCTGGGGCGATGGCTCAGCAGTCTAAGCACCTGCCTCGCAAGCACAAGGACACAGGTTCAATCCCCAGTACTGCATGCTATGAGGGCCCTGGTACCCATGGCACGTACAGCCAGCTCTGAATTCAAGTGTGGTGATGCACACCTATAATCTCAGTGCTGGGGAAGCTGAGACAGGGGGATTACTGAGTCTGAGTTGCACAGCAAGACCTTGTACTGAATAAATAAATAAATAAAATTTTTAAGAAAGACTACAGAAGCAAAATTAAAGAGGTAAGAATATCACAGACAAATACCTAGAAAGAAACAATTTACTGAAATGAATTCTGGAAGAATTATAATGGCTAAATAGTCCTATACAACATTAAAAATAATTTAACTGAAAGTGAAAATTCTTCCCACATAATAAATACCATGGCAAGACATTTTATAAGCTTTTTAAAATTATGTTTAAAAAAAAAACATAATTTCAAGTTTGTATGTTCTCTTCTGTAATGTAAGGAGAGATTATATCCAAGTCATTCTAAGGGGATAATATAAACTAGATACAAAAATAGACAAAGATAGGATAAGGAAAAAATATATAGCTCAATTTTAATTTTTATATTAAATGTATTTTCTAGTTTTTCTATCTGATGTTTTCTCTTCTGGGTCCTTGCTCACCAGAAAAACACTGCTCCTCCCAGAATTAGCCAGTCATGGAGATGAGTCTTCTGTAAACCTTCCTTTCCTATGCATAATAATCCCATCCACAGAAACCCACCACTTTTTTTTTTTTTAAATTATTGGGCTGGCCAGATAGCTCAGCAGATTAAATCACCTGCTCAAGCAGGCACATAGGGACCAGGGTTCTATCCCTGGGGCGCAGTGCCAGTCCCGCCCCCCAGGATGCACTGAGATAGCAACTAAGGCTGGGTATGGTGGCATGTGCCTATGATCCCAGCACTTGGGAGGCTGAAAACAGGAGGAACACTATGAGTCTGATCTGAATGGTGAGACCCTATAGATCCTATACTAAATATGTTTTTTAAAAATTATTTATTTATGTACAGTCTCGCCATACAACTTGGACTCATAGTGATCCCTCTGTCTCAGCCTCCCCTTGCCTGGAATTACAGGCATGTGCTACCATGCCTGGTTTTGGTGGCTTGCATGGCATGCCCAGGGGTCTTGCTGTACCAGGGATTGAACCTGGGTCCTTGCACTTGCCATGCCAGTGTTTAGACCATGGAGCTATCTCCCCAGTTGCAACCACCTTCTTTATAGAACTTCTGCCCTTGGGGTCACTGTCCTCCTCCTCTAATCACCACAGGATCAGCTATCAGACAATCAGAGCCAGCCAATATACCCTGCAGTCCAATAAAATCACTCAAACCAGCCAACTCTAGACCAACTTGGCCTGCTTATACTGCTATGTCCATTCTTTCTCCTGAAAACCATAATAAAGGTTCTTTCGCAGCCCCACCCACCCAGCCCTGCTACCAACCGTGGTGGTGTTTTGTGTGGCCCTGCAGGATATGGCATGTCCTCTTCTTCTTGGAAGCTGTGAATCACAGACTGTCTTTTCAGTGGCAATTATCTCCTGTTCTGTCGGCCTCAGCATACCTATACAGAAGTAAATTCTGTGCTTAGAAATAATTATAAAATGTAAATATAAAAATTCTGTGATGTATAATCCAAGAAGCCACAAAATTTATGTTTACCATTATTTTATGGGCAACTAAGAAAGAAAAATAATGAATAACAATGATATATGCTTTCTTTTCATTTAGAATTTTTATTTCTTAACTTATTGGAAGGTTCTTCTAAATAGTTTTAGAACATAAAATTCTTATACACAGATCAAAAAGAAAATACATGCCCTTTGTTTTCAGAATCTGATTTCATGGAGTCAATTCCAATTCAGAATTACTATTTTTCCTACTTTTTCAAAGGGTTTAATTTTTCTCTTCATAAAAATCATGAAGAATAAACAAAAGGAAAATGCATTAAAAACATAAGAACCAAAGTCCTGATATAGGGCTGGGGAGATAGCTCAGTGGCATAAATATCTGTCTGGCAAGCGCAAGGTCCTGGGTTTGATCTGCAATGCTGCAAAACAAAACAAAAACCAAACTCCTAAACTGGTTTTGGATTACACAGAACAAGTCTGTTAATTTAATCTAGTTTTGGGTATGTTGATGAAACATGGTTGGTATCTGCCTTCTCTCATCCAAAACCCTTTCCTATGGCCTTTAGGGTTCAAGAGGTTGAAAATATGCTCCACTACTATTTCTAAACTGCTGATGTGTTCTTTAAATTCTTATTCTCATGACTGTGTATAGGCAAAATTATAGGTATACATGCTATTTGGTCAACAGTTATAAAATACCATCAATTATAAGATATGTTAATTTCAGGAATATAAAAATATGCGGAAATGTGCATTCTAGAATTACTAACTTGAATAACTCATCATGATCAGCTTAGGATTTTTCCAAAATTAATAAGGAAATAATTAGAAACATGGCATCATCACATTAACAGCTTAAGAACAAACAACTTTAATTATCTAAAGTTAAAATTCTTTTCTTTTTCAGTTACGTATTTGGTACAGGGTCTCACTACACAGCTCAGACTCATAGTGATCCTCCTGTTTTCAGCCCCCATCTGCTGGGATTATAGGTGTGCGCCACCATGTCCAAACCTAAAATTCATTTGATAAAATTCTACATGTTAAATAATAAAAGTGCAAATAAACATATAAATTTATTTACTATTTTTTTTTTTTTTTTTTTTTTTTTTTTGCAGAACCAGGGATTGAACTCAGGCCCTTGCACTTGCCAGGGAAGTGCTTATTCCACTGAGCCATCTCCCTGGCCCCTAAATTTATTTACTATTTACAAGGTAATAATAACAAATTTATAGATTACTTATAAAGAAAGTGTGAATAAATTTCTGTTTAAAGATTTCTTTCTTTCGTTCTCTTTTTTTTTTTTTTTTTTCATTTTTTTTCCACTCTATAGATCAGGCTGTCTTTGAACTCAATATATAGCCCAAGTGGGTCTCAAACTCTTGGTCATCCTCCTGCTTCAGCCTCACAAGTGCTGGGATTAAAGGTATATACTCCACAACACCCATCTATTTCTATTTTAGAATTAGTACAAAACATCTAGATCGATCAAAGAAATACAGCTAATCTTGAGAACAAATCAACTTTAAGAAACAAATGAGTACATAGAGGAAAATTTCCTAATAGATAGGTTTTATGATAAGAAATAAACTTGGCATAGTCATACATACCTGTAATTCCAGCACTTGGGAGTCTGAAGCAGGATTACTGCAAGTTTGAAGCCACCCTGAACTGTACAGTTAGTCTGTCTCAAAAAGCCAAAAAAAAACCCCCCAAAAACCTGAAGAAATATAAATTGTCATAAAATATGGTGAAAAATTAAACCAGAGAGCAAATTGATACATATACATATGTGTGTGTGTGTGTGTGTGTCTTTTTTGTGAAAAGGTCTTGCTATATAGTACAGGCTGTGAAAATACGTAATTGTATCAAGAAGCACCAGAATCATTTTAGGCATCATATCTGCCTAATCACATTAGGCAGACATATGATCATATCAAGAGATGTAGAAAAAGCATTTGATGAGACTGGGCATGGTGGCATGTGCCTATAATCCCAGAGCTTGGCACACTGAAAACAGGAGGATCACTACAGGTCTGATCTACATAGTAAGACCCTGTAGACCCTATACTAAATACATTTTTTAAAAAAAATTTGATGAAATTTTACACCCATTTAGACAAAAACTTTAAACTAGTTGAACTTTTTCAACTACATAAAGCACTTCTACAAAAAGGCTACAATTAATATTACACAGCTCTTAGTGATGAGAAATGAAATACTTTCTCCCTAAGACTGGGGACAAGATAGAGATGTCCTTTATCAACATTCCTATTGAACAATGTATTGGAAGCCTTAGAAAAAGTAATGGGATGGGATTTGGGGCTGAAGAGATGGCTCAGTGGAATAAGCACTTCCCTGGCAAGTGCAAGGGCCTGAGTTCAATCCCCAGTTCTGGAAAAAACAAAACAAAACCGTAAAGGTCAAAAAGTAATGCGATGGGGTGAGGGTGAGGGGTGTAAAAGAAAAACTTTTGCAATAAGCAAGATCACAGGATACAAGGTTCAGACAAAAAAAGTCAACTGGTGCTGGGTGTGACAGTGCATTCCTGTAATCTTAGCTACTTCAAATCACAAATGACGACAGGCTGTACAACTTGGTGAGACCCTGTCTCAAAATGAAGTTTAAAAGAGAACTGGTGATGTAGCTTAGTTTGTTGGCTTTTATTCCTGGCAAAACATATGCAAACTTTTTTTGATTTTTAATTTTGTATTTTCTTTATAGTACATGTTTGTAGTACATGATTATGTTCATCATGGAAAGTTGGTATGTGTAATGTGACATTTCCCAATTTTTTTCTAACCTTTCCTCCCTCCCCTTTCTATGTATATGTATACATGTACAGAGTCACACATATATGTATAGACATATGCATATGTATATATGGTTTTTTTGTCCTTTGGGCGGGGGGAGGTCTACAGGGTGTTTAGGGTCTCACTACTAGATTCGCCTGTTTACAGCCTCCCAAGAGCTGGGATTATAGGCATGTGCCACCACGCCCAGTCTCAATTGCTGTCTCAGCATGCCCTGGGGGTGGGCACAGCAGGCTCAGGGATCAAACCCCTGGTCCCTATGCCTGCTTGCAGGTGGTTTTGTTTTTGTTTGTTTGTTTTTGTGGAACCAGGGATTGAACTCAGGACCTTGCACTTGCCAGGCAAGCGGTTATTCAACTGAGCTATCTCCCCAGCCCCTTGCAGGCACTTTAATCTGCTGAGCTATTTGGCTGGTCCTGTTTTTTTGTCTTTTTGAGACAAGTTCTCACTCTGCAGTTCAGGTTGGCCTTGAGCTCACTTTGTAGCCCATGCTGGTCTTGATTTTCTAATTATCTCCTTAACTTGCAACAATCCTCCTGCCTCAGCCTCCTGAGTGCTGGAATTACAGTTGTGCAACACCACGCCTAGTTATGTATATATGCTTTTTCATACATGTTTGTAGTACATGATGATCACATTCCTTGTAGGGCCTTGGTCCACATGAACAGCACTTCACACTCCTCTCGGCTTCAATCTCATTTCCCTCCCTTTTTTCCCCTCCCTGTCTCCTGGCTCCCTTCCCATATACCAAAGATCTCACCATTCCCTGTTTTTTTTTTTTTTTTTAATATATTTGGTACAGGATTTCACTATGCAGCTCAGACTCATAGTGATTCTCCTGTTCACAGCCTCTCCAGAGCTGGGATTACAGCTATGCACCACCATGCCCAGACTTGGTGGCTGGCTCAGCACATCTGCGGACAGGGCCAGTGTGGCAGGTGGTGCCAGAGATTGAACCCTGGTCCCTATGCTTGCCTAAGCAGAAGCTTAGTCTGATGAGCTATCTCACTAGACTCTGTTGTCTCTTTTATTTTGTATTTTACTTAAATATTTGGTTTCTTTTCTTCTTTTTCCTTTTTTTTTTTTTTTTTACTGGGAATTGATCTCAGGAGCTTGGCACTTGTCCCCCTGAGCTACATCCCTGGCCCTCATACTGGATTTCTCATATAAGAGAAACCATGTGATATTTAAGCTCGTGTGTCTGATTTATTTTCACTTCACATTATGGTCTCAAGGGGCATCCATTTTCCTATACCTGACTCTCTTTATCCTCCTTTATGGAAAAACACAAATTTAAAAACACAGGAACTATCTGAGGAAAGCTACAAAATTCTGATGAAAGAAATCAAAGATCTAAATAAATGGAGATATTTCACATTTATTAATGGGAGAAGTCAATATTTTAACATGTCATCAATTCTTCCTAACTTAATCCCAAAATATAAATGACACTTTACATATTAATAAAATATATCTAATGTTTATGCAAAAGGCAAAAGACCAAAATAGTACAATATTGAAGATCAAGGTTTGAAGACTTGGAAGTCTACTTTAAGATTAGCCTTACAATAGACCTATAGTAATTAGGACAACATAAACAGGCCAAGCAATGAGTGAAGAAGACGAGATAAGGAATAGACCAATAGCTCAACAGAACAGGATAGAGAACCAAACGGATGCATACAAATATTGTCAAATGATCTCCAACAAAATGAGCAAAGGCAATTTAGTAGAGAAAGGATAGTGCTTTCAACCCATGGTGCTAAAAGAAAATGTTCATATACATGCAAGAAGAAAAAGACTGTAGATAAACCTTATAGCCTTCAAAAAAACAAAAACAAAAAAAGAAATGGATCATAGAGCTAAATGTAAAATGCAAAAGTACAAAATTCCATGAGAATAACACAGAAAAAAACCTACATGACTTTGAATGCAGTAATGACTGATTTTTTTTTTTACTGAGACAAGGTCTTGTTACACAGCCCAGGCTGGCCATGAGCTTGGTACATAGCTCAAGCTGGCCTGCAACTCCCAATCCTCCTGCCTCAGTCTTCCAAATCCTGGCAATGCCACCATGTCCAGCTGGCATATGATACTAAACCAAAGGCAAAATATATGAAATAAATAATTGGTAAGGTAGACTTCATTAAAATTAAACATTTCTAACCTCTGCAAAAGAAAATGTAAAGAAATGGGAAAGAAGATGAGTCAAAGACTGGGAAAAAAAAATTGCAAAAAATACAGAACTTGTACCCAAAATATACAGAGAACTTTGAAAACTCGGAAGTATTTAAAATCTCAAGTTTTAAATGGTCAAAAGATCTTGAAAATAAACTAAAGAATATATACAGATAACAAATACATGAAAAGATGTTCAATATCATATGGCATAAGGAACTATAAACAAAATCTGAGTAATGAGATACTGAAAGTAAATAGAATTAAGATGTTGTGTATGCATACCAACTCCCTAAGACAAATATAATCATTATGTACTGCAAACAGGTACTAATAAAAATAAGGATAATACAATACACTTATAGAATGAATAAAAACTGACAGTATCAAATGCTGGTAAGAATACAGAAAAACAAGAACTTCTGCTACAGTTTTGGGGAATGCAAAATGGGAACAGTCACTTTGGAAGATAGTTTAGTGATGTTATGGCTTATATCTAGATGATACCCCAAAGCCTCATGCAGTCATAGAAGGGGCTTTTTCAGAAGTGGTGGATCTAGAGTGTGTGACACTGGGATTGATTCATGGTGTAATTTAGGCTCAAGGGCACTATGATTAAGGGTGTGAGTGCTACCAACCCTAAGCAGCATGGATAAGACACAAAACTTAGAAAGAGCTATGGTCACTCCTTGTTTGCTTGCTTTTGCTGTCTTCCACTGGACATTAATATTTCTCCTCTGTAATGCTTGTCCCCCACACTACCCTGCCTTGGAGCCAACCAATTATGGACTGACACCTCAACAGAGCCAAATAAATCTTTTTCCCTTTAACTTTAGGGATTGGGTGTTTGTCTCAGCAACAAGAAAAGTAACTAAGACAAGTGGTTTCTCATAAACTATAAAGGGTTTATTATATAGTGCAGCTATTTTGTTAGTAGGTATTTACTCAAAGGAGTTGAAAATACATGTCCAATAAAACATGTATACAGATATAACAGCTTTATTTATAAGTGTCAAAGTTGGAAGGAACCAAGATGTCTTTCAACAGAAATTAAATCAGAAAACTGGTACATTCCTGGGCTGGCCAGATAGCTCAGTGGACTAAAGCGCTTAGTGCCTACTTAGGCAGAGTGCAGAGGCCAGGGTTCAATCCCAGGCATCCCATGCCTGCCCCACCCCTGGGGCACACTGAGAGGGAGACTGAGACTGGGCGTGGTGGTGTGTACCTGTAATTCCAGTGCTTGGGAGGCTGAAAACAGGAGAATCACTGAGTCTGATTTGTGTAGTGAAACCCTGTACTAAATACAAAAAAAAAAAAAAAAAAAAAAAAAAAAAAGAAAAGAAAGAAACTGGTACATTCCTAAAGGGAAGTTCGTTGTTTGTTTGCTTTGAAGTGCTGTGGCTTGACTCTTGAGCCTCACATATGCTAGACAAGTGCTCTACCACTGAGTTATATGTCTAGGTCCATAAATGGATTTTTTTTTCAGTAATAAAAAGAAATCACACAAAAACACACAGAAACCTTAAATATCTACTGCTAAGGGAAGAAGCTAACTTGAAGGGGCACAGTAACAAATCAGTAGTTGGAAGAGTTTAGGGGTATGTAAAAGGCAGACAGATGAAACACTGGAGAATTTTATAGTAGTGAAAAATTTTGATACTTTTATAATAAGAGATATGTGACATGCATTTATCCAAATACATACAACTGAATAACAGGACCTTTTTTTTTTTTTTTTTGAGATAAGGTCTTTATAGTTCAGGCTGGCCTAGTTTCACTATGTAGCCCAGGACTGACCTTGAACTCAGTGATTGCTGCAACCTCCAGAGTGCTGGGATTACAGGGTGTATCATAATGCATGGATAATGGTTAACTTTTATAAAGCTGTTATTTTCAATTTGATAAAAATAAAATTATTACTTTCAGGCAGTGGCTCAAGTTTACCTTTCAGGCCTCAAGCATTCTTCTAGAAATGCCTTTTGTTTTCACTTGGAAGTTTTTCCTTTCAGAAGTGCGAAATCCTAAGTGTATCTTCATTTATATGAAAGCTATAACTGTGTCTTTACAGCAGCATTCTCTCTGTAATGAGAAGGTATTCAATGCATATTTTTATACATACAAATAAAATTACCAGATTTCATTACACCAGATTTATTTTTAAAATAGCCATTATCAGCCTTATGTGGTAGAACCATCAGTCGAAGAGACCTGAAGATTGAGACTGACTACAAGTAAGCACAGGTGTCTTAGGTAGGTTTCTTTACTTCTCCTTGCCAGATTCCTTATCTAAAATTAAGGATTTCAACTATATCTTTCATTCAATAATCACATTCTTTAACTGTTACTGATACAAAGTTCTCTGTAGAAACTGAACATTTTTTTCTCCATAAAAATATTTACTCATAGAAGATCTTTTGGAGCATAAAAAACTTAAAAATAGGGGGCCTCGGAGATGGCTCAGTAGATTACGTGCTTCGCTGGCAAGTGCAAGGGCCTGAGTTCAATCCCCGGTTTACAAAAACAAAAACAAAAATAAAAGCTGCCTTTCTATACCCCACCTTTCTAAAACAAACGTTTTCCTTTTCTTTTTTTTGGTGGGATTGTCGGTTAAACCTATGGATTTATATATGCTAGGTAAAGAGATTACCACTTAGATATATCTCTAGCCCAACAAATTTATTTCTTAAGAAGTATTCATACTGGGTAGAGGAACCAGAAAGAAAGAAGTACTAAGTATGTAGTCAAAACAGTTGATTAGGAAGGCATTCAACTTTTTTCACAAACTGCTTTCTAGAATGTTTCATATTGTACTACAAAAGTAAATTGTATGTTAAAAGATTATGGGGGACAAAGATATAGCTCTACAGTGCAGTGCCTGCCTGGCATGTTCAAGGTCCTGAGTTGGATTTCAAATATTCCCCTAAAAAAAGATTAGGAAGAAACTGCAAAAATTAGTGCTTCAGTGTTTTTCCTTATAGGAAAAAAGGCCTTATTGTTGTTTACATAGTAAATGCATGCCAGAGAGAAAAAGACTATGAAGGATTTAATCACTCAGTTCTCTGTAAAGGATTATACTTGGGATACTGCCATTTTATTTTACATAGTTTTATTTGTCCAAAACTCTAGAGGTAATTTCTTAGATACAACTTCTAATTAAGTATTTTAACATTGGATTATGTTGTTGAATTTACCCCGTCTTTTCTGTATTATCTGTTGTCAGGTACGATAGTGCATACCTTTAACACCAGCACTTTGGGAGGCTGAGGCAGGTTAAGGCTGCCGTGAGTTCGAGGCCAGCCTGGGCTACATAGAAAGATCGTACACATTCCTATAATACCAGCACTTTAGGAGACTGAGACAGATTAAGGCTGCTGCAAGTTCGAGGCCAGCCTGGGCTACATAGCAAGATCATATCTCAAAACAAGTTGTTTTATTTTATCTGTTAAAACTAATAATCTGAAAATAAAACCACAAACAGGATGAACCCACTTGAAGCTTAGACTTGGTTTCTTTCCATTCCAAGTATAAACCTTGGTTAATGTCTGAAGATTGCAAAAATTTTGAAATCACAATGATCCTCCGGCTGCAGCCTCAAGTGCTGGGATTACAGGGTGTAACACAATGCATGGATAACAGTTAACTTTTATAAAGCTGTTACTTTCAATTAGATAAAAATAAAATTATTACCTTCAGACAGTGGCTCAAGTTTAACTTCCAGGACAAAGATTTTTTTATTTTTAATTGAAAACAAAAAGGGCTAGGAATGTACTACTGTAGTGCATGCTTAGCTAATGTGTGGGGCCTTG